TGCTTGCTTATATGGCAGGAACACCTTCCACAACAGTGTAAAACATTAGCTTTCAGATTCTTCAGATCTGAACATTTCTGAAGCTCTTACAGCAACCTTAAGAAGGATGTAGCCTTGGCAAATGCATTGCGCATATTGATGGCTTCCTCCTGCCTTGCATCAAAAGCTTAGAGGATGCAATAATCGAAAATCGCGCTGCCACATGTCGAATTAAAAGCCGCATTAACTTTCCTACAAAGTAATTTCTGAACTTCAGTAGGATCCCCGAAAACTAAAAAGACTTTTTCTATAGATCCCTATAAAGTAGCCCTATCAGCCCTTTGGCACTCTCTTGAGATAGGGCACCAATTTCAAAGGCGCAAAAAGCGAAAAAGCAGCAAACTGAAAGGCAGCATCCGGGCAAACTTTCGAGCCTCGAGGACCACACCCACTTCCTCACAGGCGTTTACGTGTTGATGCTGCCTTCGACAAGGATAGCATCAAGAGCACTTGTCCAGGTCCTCACAATCACATTCAGTTAATTAACTGCCCTTGTCTAGTTCGTTGTGGTTTTTCGCTATTGCGCTTTACCGAATAGCCATTCCTAGGCGGTAAGCAAGGAGAGAGGATTGCGATTCGTAATTATTGAGATTAGGATTGAACGGGCAATGTGTAGTTTGCGAAGCTGCACATATTAAGATATAAACTAGCTATGAGTGTGACACATGCAAGTATGAAAGGGAATTACGTAAGTCAGATCCTTCTCTATACGTCCTTCATTTCTTTGATACCCTAGCTGGCATGTCGGCTTTGCCCGCAGTTTAACTGGCTCAACAAAGAGATTAGCGCGGAATTCTAAAAGTTTCAACATATCTGCGTTCCAACCTTCTTCTGCTATTCTTGTAGCACAGAGCAAATACATCCTGGCCGCACCGCCTTGAGCTTTTTGATTCTCTAATGTAGCTGACCAATGGAGCTACAGGGCATGTCAAGATGTAACGTTTGAAGGGCAAGAGGAGAGAAGGACCGACAGTGACCGCAGCTGGCGAGTCTCGACTCCGGACCCCGTCGACCGTCTGCCAGCCATCCCTGCAAGCCTCGTTTCCCCTCGCACACAGATCTCTTTACTTCATACGAAAACATATGTATGCAAAGTTTGGGTTAGGTCCACACATAAAAACTTCTATGAAGAACATGCTAACTAACAACTTAGCGACACTCAGTTTTATATCTATACTTGTATGATATTTAATTTAGTTAGCCATTTTTTGTATCTTTGCCAAAAAGAATAGAAAGAGTAATAGATTTCAAACCAAATTTAGCATACATAATGTATAGGGTGGGGCTGTGTTAATGAACCATTTTGTTCGGTAGATTGCCTCTATCGGTTTATTAATTTTTTACAGTTTGCGTAGTATGCGTTGCTTAGAATGTTGAGTCAAAATGAACTGACAAAGCCAAAAATATGCCCTGGGTTTTTCTTTCTGCGCAGGTTATAAATCTGATTTGTGCAAGATGGCAAATTGTCTGCAAATTCACATTTCCGCATTTGAGTAAAGAGTAAAAATAAAGCGAAAAGTTTACGAGGCAGCGGAGCTGCTGAGTATCAGCCGAACCTGCCGCGTAGCGGCAGAGAGCGGCTGGTATGTATATAGATTAAAGAATGGAGAAGCGGCCACATTCACTAGCCGAGAATAATCGAAGGGGCATCTAATTCAGTTTAAGTTTGGGTCATCAATATTATAAAATTTGTTGAGTAAATACAGAGTGTTCTAAAAATCGTATTAAACGTTTGATTCTTGGTAACTCTCTTTTATAATGAGCTTTCGAGGCTATCCACACCACACCATAAAGGTAACTTCAGCTTAGTTTACGGTACGGAGCGAATTATCGATTGCATGAAGGCGGGGGGTGGTCTATCTCATTACATGTCTGTTGTGGGGTGAGGAATACGTGGGCGAAACAGGGCGACCGGTGTGCGTCCGAATCAAGGAGCACTTAGACGGGCTTGCGAGGGGCAGATCATCAACACCTCTAGGCGCTCACAGCAGGCTATGTCATGAAAACGCTACAGGGCTCCTAAGTTGCAGAGTCGTTTGCACCAACGGTCGCGCGACCGCGTCGCGCCTGGGCATTTTGCCGGCGCCGGCGCCATCCATCGAGGGGGCGCCATTGATGCCCGGGCGCGACGCGGTCGCGCGACCGCTGGTGCAAACGACTCTGCAATTTAGGAGCCCTGTACGTTCAATACGGCTGTCACAATGCTATCGCACGAACTCCAATAGCCCCCAAAACTCTTGGATTGCATCGCGAAATCCAAAAATTAATAGGAAGGAAGAATGCGTTGCCCTTACAAACGAGTTGGCACCGTTCCAGGCCCTTTGTGGGTTTTGGCCTATTAGGTCGAGGTCGAATGAAGAAGGGGAGTGATTTGAATGTATCTATATCATAGCAGCGGCGCTCCACCGTGGGTGGTCGCCTACTCTTAACTGCAAGGCTATACGGTAAGCGCTAACTGTTCCGCGTCTCTCGTTTGTTTCTGGCTCTGTCGGCTATTGGGTTGTACCGAAGTGGTGGATATAGAGCATTTGAAAGGATAGATTACAAATTCATCGTCCTTACAGGCTCTGAAGAAGGCGGAGACGCCGAAACATAAGCCTAATAAAGCTGTGTATCAATCTTGGCCTCAGCTGAAACAACACTGCTACGATTTATCAAGACATGCCAGGATTCATTGACGGTCGGACCTGGAATTTGAATTATCGATTGCTTTTCAATGCGTGAACTACCTTAGAAACTTCCAGCATACAGCGTCATTATGAATAAGCCGTCGTTATATTATAGAGGGAATTAAAATAGCTCTGAAATTGTACCGAAGTTTTTACGCATGCTGATTCTAATGCAAACTTTTTACTGCTTTTATAAGATTCCGTTATTGCATTTTCAGAAACACTGAAAAGACCCAATTATGGTATACTCGGCATAATTTATGAAAGAGGCATTCATGTTAAGTCATATTTAAACTCAGCGAGTTTGTTTGCATAGTGAAAGTATTCAAGTTGCTTGGTCTGCTTTCCAGAGCAATTTACTCTCTATGGCTCAACTTTCTCCCCTCCTCTCTCAATGTTCCCAATGTTATCTGTAGTGGTAAGAGTGATCAGCGGTTACTCATTGCAGATTTAAGGTGGAGCCAGCTCTAAGATGTTGGGTGTTTTTTCATTACTCGAACTCATTTTTCAAGAAAAAAAATTATTTTGTTCCTTGTTTCATATCCAGGGCGGTTCCCTCAGGAAGAAGTGTCAATTATTAGCACATGTAAAAAATGAATAGCACATCATTCACGTGTTTGACAGGTCTTGAGAAGAGTTCCGTTTCGTATTACCTACTAATGTACATGAATTCATGCTGATTTCGATTAATATTTACCTCCTTTTGTACTACAATTTTAAAGTGAGCCTTAGCACCACAATGATATCATCCTATTTTTGAACAGATGAGATTTGTCCAAAGCAGAAAAGACCGCTCGGATTCCAAACAAATATGGAAAAATATGTGTTTAGATTATGGAAGCCATCAAGATGTTTTAACGAACGTTTTGGCTGTTATGCTACGTGAAAAAAGCTATATAGCTTTGGTGTCCTTTTATATGTTTTCTTACCTCATAGAAAGTTTAGAGACGTCTTTGAGTCAAAACGTGTACATTTTTATTTGCACGTGCCAGGTAGAATCTCATAAAAAATATTTTGAAGAGTTTTCTCTGATCAAAGCCCTTTTCTACTGAGAAGCCTTCCAGTTAGTCCCGGATAACGAATGTAAACCTGTGCTTAAATGGCCGCAAAAGCTCTCTATGCACCGAAAAATTATCAAAAATCAAACGTTCGATATTTCTTTTAGACATCCTGTGTATATCAGCGACTACATATAAATTAGCACAAACATTTATTTTTATCGCACAAATAATGCTCGATGTCTGCTAGCAAATTCGGAAGAATTTCATTGTTAATTTTTTTAAACGAATCACCCCTGATATTGAAAAATACCTCATTTTTACCTATATATGAAGCTTAATGTGTTCAGCAAACTTAATCAAAATTGTGAAGATTTTCACTGACTTAATCGATATGAACTGGTCTTCTGAGATATGATGCTATAGCATAACAAGTTTTTCTTTTCTGTGCAAAGTTATGTATCTCAATTTGTGCAGGTCTACGAGACGAGTTTTTACCAGAGCTCGGCACGAGGTGGCTAGATGAAAATGCAAAAAACGAAGTCCCTGTCGACAACATCGACTACCAAGTGATAATTATTGTAAATAGTATATGCAATATCCTTTTGACCATGTCATATTTGTTTGATGAATCATCTCGAATTGTACAGTTTTCTCGCTTCAAGTTTTGTTTTGCATTTCTCTCATTTCAAGTTTCGTTTCGTAACGCTTATCAGCTCACTTATATTTACTTTCCCTTGAAGGATATTTTGAGATCTTAGTTTTATCAGATCTGTGGATGTATAAAAAGAGCCCATCTCGCCGTATGAGCATGCTTGGTTCCTACGCAAGTTTTCCATCCCTTCAAGTTCGAGTGCAAGTTCGCTGGACGTCCCTCAAGTCCTACTTATTCTCAAGTTCGCTAGGAGATCATCCAGTTGAGCATATTCTCAAGTTTTGCACTCCCGACCATACGGCGTGTGAGTGAATCTGTATATACCTGTACATATTTGGAGATTGGGAATAAACGTATTTGGAGCTTCGACTTCAACTCCTTTATTATAGTCCCGCGTGGCACTTCAAGTTTAACAAGGCTTACTGAAGAAACCACAAAACCCAATTTCTCCACATGGTGCATCGAGCAAACGAAGAACCCAGGTCAGTCTAACGATTTCACAGCACTGACGATTCCGGTAAACTCTGAGAAAAATTCTCTTGATACACTAGCGCACAAACCTTGGTTGCAGATTTTGAACCAACTTATATTTTTTTGGCGGCGAGCTTCCAAAGTTTCATAAGCATAGCACCAAGCAAAATGGCGATGCGATTGGGTACGTCCAAGCGACTACTAACGCGCTACACAAAGAAGTTAGAAGCCATTATCAACCATCTTAAAGGCGAGGAGTTGGAAACGCTTACCGCTACTCCACAAGAAGGCGAAGTACTCAGGAATAACTTGCGCCAACTCAACGAAGGGATAGGAGCAATAAACGCATCAACGGCTAAGATAGAGCAGCTTCTGCGAGAATACGCCACGGATATTTCAAGCTTGGAAGACGTGAGCCCAGAAGAAAAAAGTAGCTTCGAGGAATACTCCGCAAAAGCGGAGGAGGTCCTTGCAACAGCATTCGACTATGGGGTGCTGCTGCAATCTCGAAGGCAAGCATACAGCTCCTGCGCAACACATCCAGCAAGCAGCGTGACGTATCCTCCTGCAGAAGAAACGACGGCTCAAGCACAAGGTTACAGGCAAGGGAAAGAGCTTCCACCTTTGCCAATACCAATATTTCGAGGAAATATATGGGAATGGGACAATTTTTGGGAACTCTTCAACACCAATGTCCACTCGCAGCAGATCCCCGACCTCTACAAATTCAATTACCTGAAGAATGCACTTCGCGGCGAAGCTTACCAAGCAATCGAAAAGTTTCAAGTGACTCCAGAAAACTACTCGAAAGCAGTCAAGTTCCTCCAGCACAAGTATGGAAACACGCAGGAGTTGATTGCCCGGTTGCTTCATAAGCTTGAAAAAGCATCGCTGAAATCACCTTCAATAAAGGACCAACGTTCTCTCTTTGAAGAACTGCAAGTGGTAATTGCCCAGCTAGCTCACAAAGGAGAACAAGTGGATAGCCAGTGGTGCATCAGAAAAATTCTCTCCAAGTTTCCAGCGTCTGTTCAGAGAAAAGTGGTACTGAAAAGAAGCACTTCCCTGGCGGAAGACTCATTTTCTATGAACAAACTGTTGGAGTTCTTGGAGGAAACAATTTCAAACGAAGAAATGGTGATGCTCTATATGGAAAGAATCGGGAAAGAACAGAGCATCAAACCACCCTTCGTCAAAAAGGATCTCCCAATGCGGCCAAACAGGCGCATGTATTGTGGGGAAGACCATAAAGCTATGGATTGCAACAGGTATAAAAATCCACAAGAAAGATTGAAATACCTGAGAGAGCACGGGCTTTGTCTCATCTGTGCGTCAGCACAACACCAAACTTCACAATGCAAAAAGCGTTATTGCTTCAAGTGTCAGGGCGCACATCATACATCGTGCTGTTTCAAGCTGATTAACAGCACAACAAGTCAACAAGGCAAGGAACTGAATAAGAAGCGGTTGAAAGAAGATCCGAAAAGGAGCTAAACCTCAACGGGTGAACCATGTGGGTTGTGAAGATGCGGAAACAAAAGAGACCGCTATACTTCAAGTTAACTCAGTACCCCGAATTTCGGAAGAAACTTTTTTTTCCTATAGGGGAGTTGACAATCCTCGATCCTAAAAGCAAATCCTTGCGAAAAATTGCGGTGCTACTGGATACAGGAGCAGAAATCTCATTCATAGATGGAGCACTGGCTCAGGATTTGCAACTTCCAGCGGTAGGAAGGACAAAGCTTCATCTACACCTTTGGTTCGAATGAGGTGTCTGTGAAAGATTGCCGGAAAGTGGTGCTAAACGTTTGGGATGCAGAGGGGCAGCAGTGTTCATTGAACCTGCTTACCCATGACATCCTCACGAAAGCGTTCACGTCTCCGGAACTCCAGGATATAGACATCCAATTTATTAAACAACAAGGCTTACAGATCAATCAGTCTAAACGATCCGTAAAGCCACAGATTCTCCTTGGTGCTGACCAGCTTTGGTCATTCGTACGAACTGATATAAGCCACATTCGCCTTCCTTCGGGACTCTACCTTCTATCCACCAGAATGGGATACCTTCTCACGGAGCAGGCTGAAAAAACATCAGATAAAAGATCAGAAGATGAAAAGGACAGGTGGAATGGCTACTGGAGCCTACAAGCTCAGGTCAACAGTAGAAGCGGTGGTAGAGGAGAAAGAAAATGAACAAGAACTTTGGGAAAGTTTCTGGAAAATGGATGCTGCCGGAACAGAAGAATTTGGAAGGGCTGAAAAAGAACAACAGGCGATCGTTGACCAGCAAGTGTGGGAGAACTTCAAAAGGACAGTGGAAAAGCGGCAAGACGGTTACTATGTGCGACTGCCATGGAAAGACCTTCAGGTAGAGTTACCAGATAACAAGGCCATCGCACATAGAAGACTGACAAGTTTATGGAATTCGCTGCAGAAAGACGAAAAACTACTGGACCAATATAATGAAGTTTTCCAAGAGCAGCTTCGTCTGAATATATTGGAGGAGGTAAATGAAAAATCACTACCTGGTACACGAATTCATTATATTCCGCACCAGGCGGTGATAACACCACACAAGTCAACGACGAAGCTACGCATCGTTTACGATGCATCGGCCCATTACAGGGGATCTCCTTCACTGAATGATGTCTTACATCGAGGGCCGGTAATTTTACCGCTCCTATACGGAATTCTCCTGAGATTCCGAGTAGGACACATCGCATTGATATCGGATGTGGAAAAGGCATTTCTTCAAGTGCGACTTCACGAAGAAGATCGCGATGCCACTAGGTGCCTTTGGTTGAGGAACCACAAACAAGCACCTAGCCCAAGTAATATCCGAATTCTGCGATTCACTCGAGTTACTTTTGGACTCATCTCCTTTCCTCTTGGCAGCAACGACACATTACCATCTCGATCAATACAAAAACAGCAAGTTAGTGAAGGAAATGAAAGAAAACTTGTACGTGGACAATCTCATTTTATCCACAGATCAAAAGGAAGAGGCGGTCGAGTTGTACCGCACCACTAAAAGGATGTTCCAAGATCTTAACATGAACCTCCGGGAGTTCGTTTCTAACAATAAGGAAACAATGCAAGTAATAGCCCTCGAAGACAAGTCCTTGGAACTATCATCAAAAGTGCTAGGGATAAAATGGAATTCAATTGAAGACGCACTAGAGATCAGATGTCGGATGAAAAACAGCACTAACACTACAAAACGTAGTGTTGCAAGTACCATAGCCTCCGTCTATGACCCAATGGGTTATATGACACCCTTGCTCCACAGAGCCAAGGTCTTTCTTCGCTCCTTATGGCAGCAAAATTTTGACTGGGATGTTATTTTGCCCGAAAAACTTGCGCAAGACTGAGAACAAATCATCAGAGAAGCCGACGGATTTGAAAAATCAATTCCTCGATGTTTATGCTCAAAAGAGACAGAGCATGACATAATCGCTTTCGCTGATGCAAGCTCAGAAGCAATCGCTGCATGTGTCTACTTGCGCTCTAAAGATCAAGCAAACTTGCTTTTGCAAAAGGCAAGTTACCGTCTCTCAAGTCCACGGTTACGATGCCGAAGATGGAACTCAATGCAGTTACTCTGGCCATGCGAATTGCAAATGCAGCGATCACGCAACTACAATCCGTCGTCAAAGTAGAGCAAACAGTAGTGCTGTCAGACTCCGAAATCGCTCTCCAGTGGATCAAATCGAAACCGCAGAAAGAAGTAGGAAAGATGATAACCAGCAGACTCAATGAAATTGAGAAGATCGTGAAGAACATAAAGGAAATGGGGTGTCAAGTATGGTTTGCTCATGTATCCTCATCTGAAAACCCGGCAGACTGTGCCACTCAAGGTCTATGCAAAGCAGAGCTGCATAGTCACTTTTGGTGGACCGGGCCTAAATTTCTGCGCGAACATCCAAAAGAATGGAAAGGCACTACTCTATTCCAACAGAAAACATCGGGTGAAGATGAGAACGAAGTAACGGTAGCAGCAAATGTACAGGTCCAACACTCAACCACTCCAATTCCTCTTGGCCGGTTGAAGAAGCATCCGCTAGGAACAATAAAGCGCATTGAAGCATATGTGCTAAGATACGTCAGAATTTTGGTAACAAGGGTAAACAAGAAAAGAACCCTTCTAATAGTCTTATCAAGTTGGCTGAAACCGGACATGGTGTACGATGGGATAGAATTGAATGGCGCGGAAATTGCTGTAGCCGCCAAAGCGGTAATCAGACAGCACCAGATACTGATCACTCAAGAAATGAGGCGATCAATGCGTCACCTGAATATCAAGAAAGACGAAGAAGGCCTCCTTCGCTGTTATGGAAGACTGGGTAGAAGCAAGATGAATCAAAGTGCAAAACGGCCACTGATTATCCTGCAAAACACGTGGCTAGCCGAAACCATAATAAGGAAAAGCCATAACAAAGGCCATCCAAGTATCAGCCATACCATGTCTCTTGTAAGACAAGATTATTGGATACCAAAACTCCGAGCTCAAGTAACTAGAATTATCCGTCGATGTGTTCCTTGTCAAAAATTCAACAACTTACCATTCAAGTATCCAGAGCAAAGTGACCTTCCGAAAGAGCGAGTACAACGAGCAAGGCCTTTCGAACATGTCGGACTGGTTTACTTCGGGCCAATAAATGTTGCTCTTTCAGACGGAAGCAAGGGAAAATGCTACGGATGCATAATCACATGCATGGTGACTAGGCTCCTTCATTTGGATATAGCCCAGGATCTGTCAACCAAAGCATTTTTGTTACTGCTCCGCCGATTCTTCGGACGCCGAGGAGTTCCTCGGACAATAACATCGGACAATGCCCCGACTTTCCTTCTCGGAGAAACTATACTGAGGGAAAGTTATGAAGCGGCCAAAAATGATCCAAGTGTACTGAGAGAACTGAGCGACAGAGAGATCGTTTGGAAACATATCACACCGTATGCTTCATGGCAAGGAGGCTTTTACGAACGCTTGATCAAGTCAGTAAAGCTCTCTTTGCACAAAACGCTCGGAAATCAGACACTGGCAATCGACGAACTGATAACGGTGGTTGTGGAGATAGAAGCCTTGCTCAACACAAGACCCCTCTTGTACATGGAAGCGGACAATTTGAATGAAGTCGCCCTACGACCGATAGACTTTATACAGAACGAAATACAGATGAAATACCCTGTGGATCTTTCTAGAGAGGAAGAAGAAGATCCAAGTTATGTATCAAGTGAAGAGCTAGTGTTGCTACGAACAAAGAGGCAAACAATAGAAGCTCTACAATCTTCCTGCAAAGCTGTAGAAAAATTTTGGCAAGTATGGCAGACCCATTACCTAACATCATTACGAGAAAAGCATCGGAGAGACGTAGGACAAAGACTGGATCCTCATACGAACCACGGAATGAGGATTTAGTACTGATCGCAGACCCAGTGCAACCACGTCAAGCCTGGAAACTTGGACGAATCATCGAACTGGTCAAAAACCAGTGTGGAGTCATAAGGGAGGCAGGTGTCATGCTACCCTCACGCCATAAAATTCGCAGGCCAGTCAACCTTCTCGTACCACTGGAACTAGAAGAGTACCAGTCTGAAAACACAAAGGAAACAGATGCAGGTGGTAGTGAAATCACACCTACTACGAAGGAAACAACTACGCATCCGTACAACCTTCGTCCAAATCGTAAGAAAAACTATGCCGAGAACATCTTGAACACTGCAGTATTACTTGTCACAATGTTGGGACTGCTAATCACAAATGACGGAGTGAGGGGACAAAAAGTACCAGACCAAGCAACAAAGATCACCAGATTCATAAAATGCATTCCGGGTGGAGTACAACTCATTTCCGAAGTACAAGTGCCTTATCAAGTATGCGCTGAGGACTTTTGTAAGACATTTGACTCGCCACACTACAACGAAACAGTAAGGTTCCCACCTAGTATAGTGCTGCATGAGCACAAGGTGCAATGGAAACTCAGCATCAATAACGCTATAGACATAATGGAAGCAATGTGCCCATCAGCACCATTTTGCGAATCGGTGGATTGTCTCTTCTGTGCCTCACTCATCTTCAATCCAGAATGCTGGCCGGTTGGAGCGATAATAGCGCTTACGGTGCTTCTATACTTGATAGCAACAGGTTGCTACGCTCTACTGTACGTTCCTCTAGTAGTAGGCAAACCGGTACGACTGCTGATATATAGCATCTACCTACTATTGCGTCATCTCATCAAGTGCTGCAGAAGGACACAAGACCAACCAAGGCAGGATAGAAGAAGAAGAAGAAAATCGATCGAACTGACCAGTTTGTTGGCCATTTTTACGATGATGAGTATGCACGTAGGGGTTGTGCACGGATGCCAGATGGTGAACATATTCAGCCACACATCCACCTTGTGCACAAATGATGACAAAGGCCAAATCTGTAAAGTGCAAGTTTCTGAAGTGCTCAAGTTGAACCCGTTCAAAAGGGAAGCCTGTTTCAAGTTAATGCACAATGAAACAACAATCCACCAGATAAGGGCCTCTTGGAAGAACTTACTTCTCACTTGCGAAAAGGTCACGGACTATTTCACTCGCGACACAAGTTATGAGATCATAGACAGTAAGCGTTGTCCGCATGTAGGGTCGTGTGTCGGAAGCAAATGCGCCCAAATGAACAGTACCAGTCTCATACCCGAACTCGCTGTGGGGAACGGGTATCCAGGAAACACGTACTGCGTTGAATCCTGTGGCGGCCCGGGGTGTGACTGTTTTTACTGGAGCTCCGGATGCCTCTTCTATCGGATTTACTTGAAACCTGTCTCTTCGACAGTGTTCGAGGTTTTTCACTGTAATCGATGGGCACAGACAGTGGCCACTGATTTCACCCATTTCGACGCCAAAAGTGGGAAAACAAACGAGTTCACAGCTCTAATGCCCCCTAACGTACCAGTCCAATGGGAAAGCTTTTCTCTCACACTCAGCTCTGTGAGTATGGCTCCAATACCTCTGCTCCAGTCTTCATTCATATCGAATGGCAATAACACAGCTCTCTGGGATAATCAATTAAAGCCCGCTCTACGCTGTCCCACAAGTAAAGCGGCAAGAACACTACGGTGTGAAATATTTGAGCAGTGTACGTGTAATCCCGCCGAAACGAAGGCCAATTGCAATTGCCTGAATGCGCCGATACTGAAGCAGTTCGAGGACTTGCAACGACGAATGCCCGTAATTTTACCATCAATAACATTTGAGGAATCAATCCATGGCGTCAAGGCAACCGTTAAGAACATGCTTTCGACAGAAATAATCGTAACCCTACAAGAAGATCTACGCACTAACCTCGTCGTAGACAACGACATCTGTACGGTGGAGAACACACAATTGATAGGATGCTATAATTGCGAAAAGGGAGCCTACGCAAAAATCAAGTGTTTCGCCTCTAGGTCAAGCAAAGCAGAGATCATATGTGAAGGAACAAGTTTCACGGCTCCGTGCGGCAAACAGGGAATTGAGTCAGTCATGAGAATTAGTCCTACTCAAGCGATGGTCCGCATGAAGTGTTCGGTCTCATGCGGAGAGGTGGTTACCACGTTTGAAGTCGGAGGAATCCTCAAATATACAGCAACTTTCGAAACAATGCTGTACAAGTGGCTTACGAGCAACAGCAAAAGCGCTCCAGCGGAAATTCAGTGGCCCGACTTCTATCATCTATTTGACGTATTCAGCCAATGGTATAAAACGGTACTCATAGCAGGAATCACACTCATCGCTATGTTAGGAATTACCTATGCGCTAATTTCGACTTGCGGACTCAGATGCGTCGTCATTCTAGCAAAGCTGATGACCAAACCGATACGAATATTCTACAAACTAGCGTGGAGGTTATGCTTTGCTATCATGCGCAGTCTTATGACAAAGTCTAGAAGCAAAAATGCAACAAAACTAAAACTCTGAGAACTGGAAACGAAAAAAAAAGAAAAGGAAAAAAAGAAAAAGAAAAAAAAGCAAAAAAAGAAGGAGTTTTAGTAGTCAACTGGCCTTTTATTCTCGAATATACTCATTATCCTGTTACAGACTCAGCGCTGCTGAACTGGAGGGAGAAACAACATTCCTAAAGGCAATCATGAGAGTGGCAAGCTCACAAGCAGAATTCCTCGAAACTGCTCTCGAAGCAATCCTAAATTCGCTGCACAATCAAGTCAAGGTAGCAACAACCCAACGAACACAGTGGACGTCTCTAATGGCCGAAGGAAACTTCGTACAAGCAACCATCAAGGAACAGATCATGCTAACCAACAGATGCTTACGAAGCGCAATGATGACCAAAGAAAAGGTATTACGCCTTGGGACATGGTACATTCTTACGGACAGAATCTACGATCGTCAAGTGCAAGCTGGGCTAATACCGCGGGGAAGAAAATTCCAATGGCTTGAAAAAGGACGCAAACAAGAACATGATGTCCAAGCCGAATCAGTACTCAAATTGGTGGAAAGTCTCATGAGCTTCACCAAAACGACTATAAACGGCATGGAGGATCATTTAAATAAAGTGGAAAATCAAATCAACGCAAGCAAGGAGAAGGATCTTGTTGCCCAGTGCGTACAGCTGAAGGAACAACTCCAAAAACTTAATTTAAACTGGGCGGAGCAAGTCCAACGCCTTCAACAAGAAAATGAAGCAAGTCAAGAACAGATCCGGCTTTTGAAAGAAAATATTCAAGAGCAAGAGGAGACCCGAAAAGATAACTCCAATCAAGTAATGGAAACAACAAATGCTGATGAGAACGCTAGCAACCAGGCAGAAAGTGTAAACCAAAGAAGTGAGGAGAAATTGGAGAGCAGTGAACTACGAATTTCTGCAACAAATGATGATGAGAACGCTAGCAACCAAGCAGAAAGTATGGATCAAAGAAGTGAGGAAAAATCGGAAAGCAGTGAACTACAAATTGCAACAAATGATGATGAGGAAGCCAGCAATCAAGCAGAAAGTGTTGACCAGAGAAGTGAGGAAAAATCGGAAAACAGTGAATTGAAATTAGCACTCTCCGACATCGAAAAGTTGAAAGAGCAAATTTCCAACCTACAGGACCAGCTCCAAGTCAACCAAGCAGCTACGGCGCCTCTTCTAAACAATGTCAGCGACCTCATCGACAAGAATGAAAGGAAAAAGAAGAAACTGTCGGAATTGAGGCAAGAATTGAAGTCCGAAAAATCGCGCATGGAGGAGTTGACGCTGAAGCAGCGCCAACATCAACACGAAATCGATCAATTGGAGCGCGAGATCGAGAGACAGAGGCAAGACAAAGAAAGGCTGCCCGAGGAAAATGAACGGTTCAAAAGGGATCTGCAACAAACAAGCAGACCAAGAGAGAAACGCTCGCATGATGAAGAAAAACGCTTGCACGAGGAAAGGAGCATTGAGAAGGGACGCACGTCTCCTCTCCCCGATCGGTATCGCACGTCGCCTCCCCCTGAGCAGTATCAAGGACCCTCGGCCAAAACCCGGAAAGTTCACAGACCAGAAAGTTGGGAGACAAGGCTCGAACACGAAATAATCGAGATGGAAAGAACTTTTCAAGAATATCCTTGTCGGAAAATAAGAGAAATGAACCGTGGGGTGAAAGGAGTTCAATGTGCTTTCTGCGATAAAGTCAGCGAACACTTCTCAGACTCTTGCCCACATTACGTCAATGGAGACAGGAGACTGGAGCTAATCAGCCAGAAAGGACTTTGTCGATTCTGTCTTGAAGACTGTCCTCCCGACAAGGAATGCGCTTACGCCGCGAGGGAGTGTTGGTACTGCAAGAGACTGAAAGGAACCATTTTCGAGGATCTCCTTCCAAGAGATGTTGGACATCATCGAGCGCTGTGCAATGTTCCGGACCTGAGACCACTGGTCAAGCAAAAAATCCTCGATGCCAAGCAAGCACTGAACAATTATCGCAGGCTACAGTGACGGCGTGGGGAGCGTCGACAACATCGACTACCAAGTGATAATTATTGTAAATAGTATATGCAATATCCTTTTGACCATGTCATATTTGTTTGATGAATCATCTCGAGTTGTACAGTTTTCTCGCTTCAAGTTTTGTTTTGCATTTCTTTCATTTCAAGTTTTGTTTCGTAACGCTTATCAGCTCACTTATATTTACTTTCCCTTGAAGGATATTTTGAGATCTTAGTTTTATCAGATCTGTGGATGTATAAAAAGAGCCCATATCGCCGTATGAGCATGCTTGGTTCCTACGCAAGTCTTCCATCCCTTCAAGTTCGAGTGCAAGTTCGCTGGACGTCCCTCAAGTCCTACTTATTCTCAAGTTCGCTAGGAGATCATCCAGTTGAGCATATTCTCCAGTTTTGCACTCCCGACCATACGGCGTGTGAGTGAATCTGTATATACCTGTACATATTTGGAGATTGGGAATAAACGTATTTGGAGCTTCGACTTCAACTCCTACATTATAGTCCCGCGTGGCACTTCAAGTTTAACAAGGCTTACTGAAGAAACCACAAAACCCAATTTCTCCACAGTCCCCCTTGACTTTTGGGTATCTCTACGAAGTCCCCTTTGAACCCCACCATATTCCCTAAAAATCCTCCAAAAAACGAAACGTCGACTACTTTACGTTGAATATCGCATCTTGAATCCTTCGCATCTCAAATCCGCACTTCCTTCAGCGATATGGCTTTGCAGGAATGTAGATACAGTCGTCCTCATTACAGCAGACGTTTGGTAGACGAATTCTGTATTTCTGGAGCAAGCCGCCGCAGCGAATGATACTCTCTGCAAAGTCGTGCTCTACCGCAAGCAACCTCTCCAATGTGAATTCAAAATCTTCCTTCAAAAGCTTACCAAAATGAGGACGATCATGGTGAAAATAAAGATTTTGATGCATATCTTTCGTTTTAATCTAATACGGTAGATATTGTTTTGAATACGGTAAAGCTGTTCACTTTCAACGTACAACGTTGAGCGGCACGGCGCTGGATCGATGCTGAAACGGTGCTGGCACGCCGCTAACTTGGAACGCATCTTTAGCTGACGCTATTTATATTTTGCACATACAAACAGTGGCGGATCAATTAATCAATAAAACAGTGGTATAATAGAAGCGATCAGATTCATTTCGTTAACATTGAAGCAGCATTTGAGATCGAGTAACAAACGTTAACAAAAGTTTATTATGAACTGCAATTTCTTAAATTTGCTCTACGGCAATGATCTTCATTAAATTCTCGAAGATATTTTGCTCCATTAATGACTAAAATACTTCGTATCAAGTTTCATAAATTAAAGTTAGAGCACTGATTTACTGCAAGACTAGGTAAAAATTTAAGAAAGGTAAGAATGGGTCTAGATAAGAATTCCAGCTACTTAAATACAAGTGTGTATGGTGGCAAAACATTGCAATCATTCAAAGTCGTCATAACTCACAGTGAAATGCCTTGCTCTAATTATGTCATCGGGGCTCGCAACCATCTTAAGCACTCTTTCACGTCTCTCTCGTTTTTCGTCATAATATTTCTCATTGGCGATAACATATATCAACCTTATCGATCTCTTGCGTAGCTGAAATACATAGGAACTAAGTTTTGAAATTTTATATGCACAATAGTAAGTCTAATACGTTGACAAACATGTGCTACTGATTGTTTGTAACTAAAAACTGACAAGAGAAATACTTTTGATGGCGTTGAACGTTTGTCAGAGATGCATATCGGCTAAAGCACTTTAAATGCTGATTTCGAAGCACTCTGTTTCTGCGGAACGCTCTTCTAAAAGCAGTTATCAAAGCCTAACAATCCCGCTTTCGGGTGCTCCTTAAACAGTTTCCCACCAGACTGAGGGTACCTGGCTCTGATGATAATCTAATAGTAGAACCCTAACTAAGCGACGACAGAAGTTTGCAGCGCGAAAGGGGTCTACGAAGTCTACAAATCACCCCCCAAGTGGCCCGAATCTTACTTTAGGCTCGGGCGAGAATAAAAAGCATGCAAGGTAGAGACGCAGAGTCGCTGCGGGACCCTGCGCTCATAACTATGTGCGCTATACGTATTCTGGCCCATCAAATCGATATTGCGGTGTGTGCGGCGTCCGAGTCTACCGTAAGATTTGGACCATTTTCGGAGCTGATTTCAGGCTTGGTAGACCCCCTTTTTCGCTCCGAACTTCAGTCATCGCTTAGGTAGGGGGTCTACTTTACCTCGCCATAAAATCTCAGCACCCATCTTTTTGCGGGGATGCTGCCTTTAAGTTCGAGGACGCTGCTATGTATATCTATAAAGTCATGACGACGATTTTACTGCGGACTTTGCGCCCACAGAGGCATAAAACGCTCATACAAGAAGGCATCACCTCAGCGTTCAGTTTAGCAACTTCCAGTGTCTAAATATTATCATACGTAAACAAAAAACCAATCGACTAAAGATGAAAACCAAGAAAATGCGATTTCCGTAAGTGACGTCGTGTCGCGCGCGGTCGCGCCATCTCCCGACTTTTCAAATGCCCTATACGTGGGTGGTGTAGTGGTTAGCGTGGCCGAAGTATAGACGAGAGGTTATTGATTTGAATCCGGTAAAGAGAAACCTTTTTGCACTTTGAGTGAGACTTATATACGCACCTGAACCCGTTTGCAGACACTTAGTTTTTGACATAATTGATTTGAACTAAGAAAAATTTTATGCACAGCTGCATGCGATAAGAGCCTCACCACTGGTTTCGAACCCTTGTCCTCTCGCCTCTAATGCAAGCTCGCTAACCCTACACCACTGCACCACTAATCTACATGGCAGCGTCCTGAAACTTGGAAAAACCCGAAAGGGTTCAGTCCTTCACAGCTCCTTCCAAAAAGAGTTCCGCGGAAATGGTATGCAAATTTAGAATCAGCGGGATATGCTTGCAGGCAGTGTCCGGGCAAGACGGGGTTTTGGGATTTCAGTGCCATTCGAGGATGGCCCCCTCAGATACAACATCGCGCAAGTGCAATATCATAACGCCCGACCTAAAGCAAGAAAAACAACCAAAAAGTGGGGAAACTTACGCCTTGGGGCGGGATCCTCCGAGATGTCCGAGATCCTGCTATGCGGCAGAGTACGCATGCCGCAACACTTGAAACTGCAGGGTCCCACAGCGCCTCTGCGTCCCTGGCGAGGACTGTCGAATTTCAAATTGTAAGGCTTTGGAAAACGCATGTTCTCGCTATATTTGCGCCTTATAATGCGGATTTTCGGATTCAGCGTTGTGGATAACCTCCGGTAAGTGGGTCTTCTAATAATCGAGTTTTTGCCCGGACACTGCCTTCAAGCGGATATGCATCTCGTATCAAACAGCCACGGCTATTAAGTCTTCCCTCGTAAAACGAATCATGACAAATTTGTGAACAAGCGGCACCGTTTTAAATAATGAAATATATTCTGGAAAGCTGTATGGTGAGGCTATCATGAAGTTATTGTAGTTATGCGATATAGGTCAAAACCACCAATTTCAAGCATGCTGATCAAATACCTTTGCTTCTCGTTGCATTAACGCCTTGTCATTTTTCTTCTATTTTGGCCAATTTGAATCCCAAAGGAGTTTCCTCATGATTAGCGCTTCGGATAAACCCCAGCACAAACTACAGATATGTGATCCTGATACCCTACTTTAGGCCTACCGCAACTCCGCAAGAAGGTCCCAGAACGCAAGAAGAATATGATATTTGTGTCAGAATGTTGAATAGTGCCTTTAAAACGCGATTTTGACCCCCGTCCCCTACCGTGTCAAAGTGCAGGGCATGATCTCGTTACCAGCATGCGGACAGCCCCCCCCCCCCATGGACCAAACTCCCATATTGATTCCTTCTATCAAATAGTCATCGTAACTCGAGGAAATGGAGCAACGGCAAGAAGCCAATATGATATTTGGCACCAGGGGTAGAATACCTCCCCCCCCCCTCCAGAACAAATTTGGTCGAGCAGCTTTGAGATTTTAGGACCCGAATACGGAAATAGCGTTTTAACTTTGCGTTTTCAAGAGTGTCAAACTGGTTCTTTTGCTGCGAAAGCGTTAGGTTTCATGGAAGCGAGAAAGCTTCGTCAAATACTAGAGTATACCACATCTACTGATGAGATCTACGGTCGGTCAAATTGGTTTTCCCCTGATACAATATGCTTGCGGTGCTATGAAAATACGGTAATTTCATCTGGACAAATAGCTACGCCTATAATGCCGGCCATTTGCGAGCGCAAAACGCCGGCATTACTGTCGCCGCCCTTTGCTCAAGCACAAATTTCGCATTTTGTCGTCTTAAGCATACTATTGTAAGCGAAAGTCTATGCAGTCGTATCCTCAAAACGAACGATCACCTGACATACTGAAAACCTTTGCGCAAACTTGGATTACCACCTGCGGTAGACTTTGTTAGTAGACGTACGAGAAGTTGAAACAACGTCCAGGCAAATCTCGACATGTGGAGATTTCACGTCGACAGTATTTTTGGGACTCTAGCTAGACATGTCCAAACGGCAGCTCAGATGGTGTCCTAGCGGCTGAAATAATCGCCTCCAAACTGGACCACAGGATCGTATTTCGCATGGATTCGTGGGGCGACACATTAATTCCGCGTGAGTCCTCGCGCGAAAGCATGCAAACAATGGAAATTGTCCGGTAATACGAAAAATTAATGTGGAATCGTTAGTTAGGTTTTCAAGTTTGTGCAACTGCATAAACTTGAAAACCTAACTAACGATTCCACATTAATTTGGTACTTTGTGACCAAACATCATGAATAATGCATCTGGACGATCGAATCCAAAATCGATCGGGCCACTTTCGCGCTTGCCGCGCTGTCTGTATTATTCTGACCAAGTTGGGGATTGTGTTAGAGGCTAAAAACGCTATCGTCATTCCTCTAAATCCTATTTTTGCAAGTTTACGCTCGGTACACGGAAGAGGAAGAATTTTTGAGATAGAATTGGTTTCGAAAAACGACATTCATTCCGCGTTTATGGTTATGCGATAGGTCAAATAAATCCACTATTTTGTCTCTTTAAATTCAGAAAATCAGATTATTCATTCATCAAATGTACTGCTGGAACAAATACTCCTTGTTATGGCATCTCCACATGCCTTACAAACATTAATCATTCCTCACTGACTTTTTTGACAGATGGAGAAGTACGATTTTGTACGGAATATACTGTTGATTCGATTTTTTCACTACCTTCTGATCATTTTTTTACCCTTCATTTCTTTCATTCAGGTTAATTGGTACGGGGTGCGGCAAAAGTCTGGGAGCCTAATACTTTTTCGTACAAAACAAGAAGGGAAGTCCCTAGAAACGAAAAATTTGGCGCACACATAATCCGAACCATTGCAGATACAGCCCAGTTTTTGAATTGCAAAACTGCCTCTTTTGGCTTCCACGCAGCCCTACAAAATCTTGGCAAGTCCACCTGTTATGGCACGCAGGTAGTCGTAATGGAATTCGCCCCACGCCTTCACAAAAACTGCTTCTTTTACCTTGGCAAATGCGCAGCGTGACAAACTTTTGTCTACAACATACTTCCAAAAGAATTTTTTGCTTTGCTTGGGAATGAAAATATTGGATTTTCAATTAGAAGCATGTGTACGTCGCATACCGGAATTTCGGCTACAAATAAAAACTTAAAAATATCGTTCGAAAAGTATAAAAAGTGTTCCCATAACCGAACTTCAATAAATTCTAATTCAGAAGACGTACGCAAAAAATACAGCCTTGGTTCCAGTGCCTGTTGAGCATTCTATAGCTTTTAAACTTCTTCTGAAGACGGATTTCCACTGGCACGTAGGTAACATTCGCAAACTTTTATTTTCCGTTCATGCAAGAACAGCTCGTAACAAAAGCAAAACTAGGATACAATAGGCAAAGCCTCTTCTATGTTGTGTGCATTCTCTTGAAATTTCAGCTTGTGTTTGTGATAGAAATTGTTAGCATGCACACTTCAAAATTTTCTTGGAGATTATCTAGACTGAAATAACAGCCTCTCAACACAGAGTCGTTCTGGTAATTGTTTCGCCCATAAATATCTAACGTAGAAGGCAATTGCCAAAGTTTCGCTCATTTTTGTAAGCGTAAGGCTAGGCCTCCTGTTGACAATTCAAAGCAGGGTCAAGCGTGTGATGCGACTGTCGCAATGGGGGAGGGGGGGGGGGGGGTCGTGAGCGGGGTAATGGTGGAGAGGGGGGGGGGTCGTAAAAGGAGGCATTTGGATAAAAAACCGTAAGCATGGAAGGAAATCGAATGGCAAATAATTATCATAAGTTTTTAACAATAAATTCATGGAATGCCGTGTACCAATGTATCAAATAAAAACGAGTGAATAATAATTTGAAAACATTTGCAAACGTAGAAATTCGCTTCATTTGCTGCACTTTTGAAAGATTATGACTTAGTTCATTTTTTTGATGGGAATCACTATTTCTTCCGCGAAGTATTATCGTAAACGGAGACCAAAAACCCTGCTGGCATGACTCAAATTAGAAAATAAACACTTTTAAAAGCTCAAACGCTGCTAAAGGCATGTGTGATAAAGATGTTGGATGTACCGATTAGTGTAGAAGTCCTGTTTCCAAAGGCTCACTGAAGACTCGCACACTCGACATAAGCGCGTGTCTCCATCAACGCTAATCATCAATAATTTGTAAACCTGTTTGTAATGCTTTTCATTCAGGCCTTACAATTTATGTGTACTTTAGAGGTGCTCTACTACTTGTGCAAAATTTGGTCCTACTTTATAGCCTTCGGATTTTCTTGTGATTTTATGTATGGTGGCAAAAAATAACAAAAGGGAGGTCGTATCTGGGTCGCATCTAAATTTTTCCGGAGCTATTGAAGTTTGTTGGCTGCAATTTTGCTGTAATACGAGGCCATCCTCCTACTTTCCCTCATAAAAATTTCAGGCCGTTTTATGACTTCTCCCATGAGTTACAAAATTTCAAGCTCAAAAATCCCAGTTTTTGATTTTTAGGATGGCATCTAAATTTGCGAGAGTCGCATCTAAATTTTTTCAGCTCACTGATTCTCAAGGGCTGAAACTTCTTCAATGGATAGTCTGGGCACTATGCTACAGAACCTGTTTATTGCAGCCTCTCATTCTTTTCCTGGCCTTAGTTACAAAGTTAGTTGCGTGCTCATGCACGTTTTTGACATCGTTCTGGACGGCGCTAAAGCGGTTTTTTTCACAGAAAAAACTGTGCAAGAGGTAAAAATTAAGCTTCTTAGTCGAAAACATCTTTTGTAATTCGAGAATGCCTTTTTTTCTCTCCGTGCAAAAATTTGTGTCGCCTACGGGAATCGAATTTGCTGGTCTGAAGTATGCCTGAAAATTCGAAAAAAAAAACTTGCAGAATCTCAAACATTGTTGAAGGTGTGTATGTGTGCTACAAATGCTGGGCGCACCCATTGGCCTAGAAATTCTTCTTCCGAAACCTCACTGAAGTTCTCACGCAGGTATTTTTTGAGATTGACATTCGTTTATGCAGGTTACCGCGCGGAATGTGGGCAGGGGAGGTAAGTAGGGTAGAGGGGGCGGGGAGTCGTAGGTGGGCACCTTCAGGGGGGGGGGGGTCGTAAATGAGGGTCCCGAATCGCATCAAAGCGCTTGACCCTGATTCGAAGTTTTTGCCGCTCAGTACGCAGAAAATCAAAAAAACTTCGCAATTTGGGCTTTCAGGCCGTCGAAAAAATGCCAAAAAAAAGCTTGCAATTTTTGGATTTTAGAGTTTTTTATTTCGTAAATCTGTCTTGTTTTGGTCCTTCTCATTTTTATTCTACAGGCTACTTATCGTTCATACTAACAAATTTTCAAAGAAGTTACTACTAAAAATTATAGCAAGTCAAAGTGAGGACTCGCAATGCTCATTTTTTGCACCCACCTAATACTAAAAATTATCCTTCAATTACTCTAATTAGATTCTAGGCTGACCGTCATGGTGTCATTTGAAGATAGAAGTAAGGTATTGATCTCAGATGATGATAACAAAATTGGCTTATGTTGCAAATTCTAATGTCCCACTGTCCCTTATTGTTTGTGTTATTACATCTTGAACGATTTGGCTGGAAGAGTATAGAATCTTTGACTTGATGTCCTTGGATGACCGCTTTAATGTCATATAACTTAATGTGAAGCTCAAGGAGAAAATTGAAAGTTTCGTGATGCACCGTGTGTTGCAAAGGTTCGAAATGTGGTCATTTGACACATGTTGTACATAGTTATAAAGAAAAACTGTTATGCTTATGTCAAGAACACTAATTTTATAATCTCATGTGTACTTTTGACAATTGAAGTAACGACTGATTGAAAAAATGGACAGACTGTTAAAACCTATGAGCATTTAAGAAATCTTACCTCTTCTGCTTCCCGCACTTGTGGATGTGCTTTTATAGCCTCCCTCTTCCAATTTTCACAATTAGCTACGTAGGTTTTCATCTTCCCGTTAGGTCGTTTTCTTGTATCCGTGTAGTCGTAGAGACACTGGTCTGAGTCACCATCAGAGATGAGAACAACAATTTTTTCGTCTGTTCTTTCAACCTGAGCACATAAATTGTAAATTTCGGCAATCGCAAAGTTTCAAGATAGCAGTTTATAAATTTAGGATCATCAAGATAATATCAAAGAAATCAGACCTCTAGCATGATGCGAGCCTTATAGATTGCCACACCAATAGATGTCCACTTATCTTCCCATTCCGCCGTTTTAACAAAATGTCTAAAATAATAGTTTTTTCAGTGTTTGATCCCGTAAATTATCCACAGAGTTTCGATTTCAATGCTTTTGTACAACTCACATTTTTCTTTTGGGTAATTCTAAATTACTGAAAGATAATAAATTGTTTTGTCTAGTCGACAAAGTTTTTGCTTCAGTCAGATCACGCGATTTTGTGAAAAAGAGATTTCGCTTACCATCTCATGTAAAAACCATCTCCCCTCCATACGTTACCCCTTGCTTAGAGATAAGAGCCTGCGAATGATGCAGACGATTTACACAGGAACAATTCTCTACAGAAAAACCAGGTTTGAATGTAGGGGAACTGTTCGTTCCAAAGTTCTTGACTGTATATTAAGTGGGTCCGAAACTTCTTGCCTTTTTACAAATCCATGCTGAAACCATTTAAATCCATGAAAGACAAACGCTCTAGACAGTGTTCGGATGCAGAATTTTTTCCTCTTTCTGACAATCATGTTTTTGTTCAGATTCCTTCGATGTCCGTTCAGATAATCATCAGAATCTCCAATTCTTAGAAGAAGTCTAGGTAAAAGATGGATGAGCAAACCCCACAGAAAATATGCTCCTTTTGCTTTCATGAAATTTCTATCAAAACGAACGGAATATGGCAGGCTTACGTCAGACACGTATGCATAGAAAACCAATTCGATGTTGGAAACTACCAAAAAGAGTCTTGGTTTAGAACCAATATTACAGCAAATGAGCGTTTATGAATTCAGTGTCAAATTTCAAAATTCTCATCCACAGAATGAGGTGCGTCGAAATATGAATTATGGTAATTTCATCTCCGCAGACTACACGAATGAGAAAGAAAAGAAAGAGTGCATTGAATAGCACCCAAATTGCTCGTCGATTTGACCTTCTACAAGTTTGAGTTGACCCAATATGATTGGTAGCATCAAATGAAATCTGTTGAAAAATCATGACGAGACAGTAGGGTTTGCTTTATCTAACATTTACTTGCACTTCTCCTAAGGGCCGGTACTAAGTTTTTTATAATTAGCGGAATTTGAAATGACAGAAACCATGATTCGTACATTGGTATAGTGGGACATCGCTATTGGCAAGATCGTCCGAGAACCTTTGACCTGCGGTGTGTGGCGCTCGTTTGAAAAAAGGCGAACATTGAAACGGAGCTAACAAATTAGTATCGCTCTAAGAATTTTCAAGCAAATTTTGAGCTAAGGGGCTGAGTTTGACATAATATTAGGTCGATGCAAAAATAATTGCCGATTTTCCAGCTTTTTTTCAGGGCAATTTTCTTCCATAAAGATGTCTTTATTGAAGTACATATAGCATGTCTCTGAGAAGCTGTTTTCATGCTTCATCTAATGGTGCTTCAAGCGGGCTTTCATCCTCATCTTTTATTAAGTCACTGAGCTGCAAATAACCGCATCTAAATCCAGAATTTCATTGCATTCACTTCTCTGACCAAAATTCAAGTACGCATGAATGGCGCATGTTCGGAAATTTGCTATAGTATGTAATAAAAATTGTCTACATTATGCATACTTGACTGTATTTCCTGGAGTTATTCAAATTGAGATATCGGCGCCTCAACATAGGTAGCAGTTGCGGTCATTTTATGACGCATAAATTTATTTTGAAGTCTATAGCTGAAGCTTTGCTCAATTTTGTAAGCGTGATGCTAGTGCATCCTATTAGCATTTTTTGTGGAAACATCTAACTTTTCAGTACGCAAAATATCGAAGAATTCTTTTTTCGGGACTTTGAGGCGCACTGAAAAAAAATGTCGAAAAAAGTGAGAAATTTTAAATTTTTAATTTTTTTTCTTCCTCGCAAAATTTTTTCTTTGAATTTTTTCATTGGGTTTTGTACTGCTGCTTGCGGCTACAAGATAGGCTAATTATCATTCATATTGACTAACTTTGAAGGAAGTTATGAATTGTCAAAGACAAGGTTCTAGCAAAAGAAACTTTTATGTTTTTCAATTCATATTTTTCTGCCCGTTCGTGATGTGAATATAAGTAAATGTACGCTGTATTGCAGAAGGTTTGTTCCTTCTGATGTTTTTACCGCATTCAGAAATGTGGATTTTTTAAAAAGTTATAGCACGTCTGTTGTAGAGCTGTTCAGTGTGAACTAGAACTCGCTCATTATTGATAGCTAAGGCTGAGGTGACCTAGACGGCTGCGGCGTACCCGCCGCACCTTGATTATGTTTACGTGTTGTTATTGCATTGATCCTAGTGAACCCGCGGCATATACGCCTATGTGTATAAGGGGAATGTTTGTGTTTTTCTAATAAATCGTCAACGGCTCAACGCGTTCCACAACAACTGGCGATCAGGATCAAGAACAAGAAGACCTCCACCGACCAAGGACCAGAAGAAGCTCCACAGACCGAGGACCAGCAGCCCGACCAACGACCAGCAGTCTTCCAATCAAGGACAAGAAGAAGTGTTGCAGCTCAGTTCAAGCTGGGAGGAAGCTGTTACCGGTCGAGGACAGCCAGCAAGTAAGCGTTGCTAGGAATCTGATTTAGCAGAAGACTGAAGAGTTCTACCATGCCGAAAGCCAGTGAAGAGCGGCATGGCCATGACTCTTTGGAGAAGGTCCTGTCGGTCATGGTCGAACAAATGCGAATTCAACAGGAAGAGATGAAGCTGCAAAGGCAACTTCAACAGGAGCAGCAGATGCAATTGCAAGCTCAGCAGGAGCAGATGAAGGAGCTAATCACCACCTTAGCCAGTAAGCAGGGAGCCGTTCAGGATGTCAGCAAAGATCAATACGATCAGCTGAGCAAAGAAGTGCAACGATTTGTCTCGCACGAGGAGACAGGTAATACGTTTGCATACTGGTACGGCAGGTATGGACCTATCATTAGCGACGCCCAGCTGCCGGATCACAAGAAGCGCGACTTGATCCTCATGAAGCTGGACGAAGAAGCCTACCGAAAGTATGCTGATGAGGTCTTACCTGCGAAACCACATGACTTGGACTTCGACACCACCATCGCGCATCTTCAGAAGCTATTTGCCTCTAAGAAGACCCTCATCAGGAGAAGGTACGAGTGCTTGAGGATAGCCTGTCCGCCGCTTACACCAACGTGCGTACCATTTCGCGAGTACGCTAACACTATCAAGCGGATGGACGAAGACGCTCGACTCAAGGAGCTGGATTACACGGCGATGAAGACGCTGCAGTTTGTAGCAGGTCTTCAAGATCCCTCACTCAGGGAAGTTCGCCTTCGGATGATTCGTCGACTGGACGCTCACAAGGACGAAGCACCGTTAACAATCGAAGACCTAGTCACGGATTGCGAAAATTTCACTGCTTTGAAAGTGGATAACACGGACATGGAAGGCACTCGCGACGTCCATGCTGTATGGAAGAAAAAGGTAAATTGCTTCATATGCGGAGGACCACATTTCAGAAGAGATTGTCCACAATCTGACAATAGTCGGAAGAAGCGGCGGAAGACGAAAACCCATGTGAGTCGCAGGCGACAGTGCAAAAATGTGGTCGTTTTCGACGCCGAGAAAGCGCGGACTTATATCGACGTCGTAATCAGAGGATGTTCCCTCAAGCTACAGCTAGACACAGGTGCGGATATAACCCTGATTTCGCGAAGAGCCTGGAAGAGGATGGGATCCCCTGCTCTGGAACCCTGTGTGTTGCCCGTGAAAACTGCCGACGGGACGCCGATGCAGATCGACGGTAAATTTTCGACCGATTTTGAAGTCAAAGATCGAGTTACAGGGAAAACCGTTCATGGAAACGGAGTTTGCTACGTCACCGAAGGCTCGAATCTATTAGGATTGGAATGGTGTATCCAATTGCCGGCGTACAAGAAGCTGAAGGACAACTACAACTGCAGAAAGGTGGCTAGCGAGGAGAAATTTCGAGCCGAAGTCGTCGCCGATTTGAAGAGGAAATATGCAGAAGTCTTCAATAGCGACTTGGGAAAGTGCACGAAGAGCAAGGCCAAGCTAGTCTTAAAGAGCGATGCTGTGCCAGTCTTCAAGAAGAAGAGGCCAGTTCCATACGCCACGGCACCAGAACTGGAGGCAGAAATTGATCGGCTGGTTGCCGAAGGAGTTATTTCTGCTGTAGAACACTCAGAGTGGGCCGCGCCGATAGTCGCCGTCAAGAAGAAAAATGGCAAGATACGTCTATGCGCCGACTTCTCGACAGGACTTAACGATGCATTGCAGCTGCATCAGCATCCATTGCCCACTGCGGAGGATGTGTTTACAAAGCTCAATGGAGGCCAGCTTTTCACTCAACTCGACCTAGCAGAAGCCTATTTGCAAGTGGAAGTCGAGGAAGCATCAAAGGAGATGCTCACTATCAATACACACAAAGGATTATATCGCTATAATCGATTGCCATTCGGAGTGAAATCGGCACCAGGCATATTTCAACAGATCATGGATTCCATGATAAGCGGACTTGATGGAGTAGCCGCTTATCTTGATGACATCATCATCACGGGGAAGAGTTATGAAGAACACCGCCAGAATCTGGAAGCATTGTTTAAGAGAATCAAGGATTACGGATTTCACGTCAGGTTGGAAAAATGCAACTTTCTCATGCCAGAGATTTGTTACTTAGGTTGCATCATTGACAAAAACGGACGCCGGCCGGATCCAAAGAAGATTGAAGTTATTCAGCAAATGCCAGCGCCGAAGAACATAGCGGATGTTCGATCATTCCTCGGGATGATCAACTACTATGGATTGTTCGTAGCCGAGATGCGCCAGCTTAGAGCACCCTTGGACGCATTGCTCAAGAAGGACGCAAAGTTCGAATGGACGGAGGAATGTCAAAACGCATTCAAGCGTGCCAAAGAAGTCTTAGCCTCCGATTTACTCCTCACACATTTCAATCCTGACTTGCAGATAATGGTAGCTGCGGACGCGTCGGACTACGGAATCGGGGCTGTTATTCTGCACAAGATGCCAGATGGGACAGAAAAGGCTATCTGCCATGCAAGCCGAAGCCTCACAGCCGCCGAAA